TATCGGTGCATCCCTAGTTCTCATGTTATCAGTGAACAGGAACACTCAGTATAGAGGATTCCTGTTCATTTATAACAGGGGCTGCAGAAAAAGAGATTGAGGACTTTGTGTCCCCAATCTCTTTTTCTATTTTAAAAAGGGAAATATCAGGGGTCTGTTTAGACCCCTAATATTTTCCCAAAGCCCCTAAAAGTAAAAAATATTTAATAAAAATAAATATTAAAAAAATGTAAACGTTTATAAAAAGTAAATAATATGTGTGTTTAACCTCCCCAAGTCATCCTACTGCGCTGCGTACAATTACCAAAACAATGAAACCAACACTAAAATAAAAGGAAAACATTTTCTATAGCCACAGCGAATATATGAACAGAATAATGCAGATGCATTTTGCAAGTCCTGTATTTTAGTTTAACAAATGAATTATTGTTTGAATTCTGGCACCCTCTGGAGGGTAATGCAGATACAATCAGCTTATCTGCCTTGAACAGTTACCAAGTAAGCTGGAGACTCTGCCAATAATTAACAACATAGATTAAGGCACAAAGTGCTAGCAGGTGAAAGGTGATTCACAAGTGGCTGAAACACATTGGAAAAGCAAAGTCCATCCAGACAATCATCTTATATGACCTTCTGGCCTTATGAACACAACTTATCTACTGAAAACATTGGGAAAAGTGTTGGAGCTGGAAAGACACAACCCTTGTACACATGTGACCTTGTCAATAATGTAAAGTGAAATATATGTCACAAAATGTCAGCGTTGTCATCAATGAACTATGTCAGTGTTGGAAACTATTAAGTTTGAAGAAGTAACCGTTTATGATCATAATACTGCTGAGTACTAAAAAGTTGGAATGCCAATATTAAAGCTGAACTCCAGCCTTAGCTTCAATCTTGCTCAGTTGTACAGACCCTTTCCGTACTACAATTGCTTACTCTGATTTCACTGCACACAGTGAGCTTCTCACAATGTGCATTAGAAGTTGCAGCAAGTCAGACAGAACCTGCCACGTTTCCTAGCTGGAGAATGTCCAGCATTATCCGGCTCTTTGCTTCCGAGTGTGATTGTCCCGGGCCCACCAATTATATGTATAATTATTTCAGTTCTTTCAATCATGGAGGCCAAGTATCACATGTTGGCATTACATAGTGTAGTCCAAGGTATTTTGTTGCTTACATACAAATAAAGTTCCTCTACTTCCTGGTCCAGTTCTGGCAGAAATGATGTAACGTTCTAAAGGTGTGTTTGTTGTTATTTTAAAGATAGAAGTAACATTCCTCTTTAAGAGTCAGAGTGCTCTAATGTTTTCAAAAAGCTACAGACAGTACCCTGCTGGTCCATCCCACAAGGCATGATTTAGCTGCATTACATAGAAAGGTACAGGGACCCAGTAATTACAACAATGGGTCTAAAATGGTCTACCGTATAATGAAAACATTTAAAAATGTAATTAGCATGAAGGGGGAAACCAGGGAAGGCAAAATATAAGCAGAATTAACTTCAGCGTTAGGGTGCTTCTATCAACAAAAGTAAAAGCTTATATTAGAGCTGATGCGTTACCAAACGCCACTTGATTTAGCAAAGTATCCTAATCATACCTTGTAAAAGTGCTTCAAGCCTCCACCACAAAACCAAGTCAATGGCACACTATTTGCGAAGTAGAAATGCAGGTTTATCTGGCTAGAAAACCTTCCAAATCACTGTATTCACAACATGGAATACTTGGAGTATGCAGGAGCTTGCATTTTCACAACTGTCATCCTGTCACATAACTTTATAAGGCAGCCCAGCAAAAGAAGAAGACACTTTTCCCAAAAGTATTATATTTTGTACATCAGTAAACAGAAATGCATAAAACCTGGAAATTAAACACTAGCAGAAAAACTCATTGCAATTGTTTCAATCACTTTGTCTTTAAATATATTTATCAGGCCTTTCTTTCAATCTCCTTGCTTTATCTACATGGGTAGATAAACACTGTAAAGCACTGCGATAAAAAACCTACTACTAAATTAATCGTGAAAATGCCCCAATACTGAACACCAATAACAGCGCTTTCAAATTTTTAAAATGAAGTGTCTGCCTGAGGTCCCGTGCTTGCTTGGGACCTTGGCAGCCTACCTGTGAACCGAGGCACCTGTGTACAGCGTCGGCCCGCAAATCTCCTCCTCCTTCAAGGGGAACTGCGCAGTGCTGCTTACAGCACTTCCGCTACCCAAACCCGCCTGCAAGACCCACCGGACCCCTGGTGAGACCCCGCATAGCCCTCCTGAGACCCCCACACAGCCCACCTGAGAACCCGCACAGCCCACCTGAGAACCCGCACAGCCCACCTGAGAAGCCGCACAGCCCACCCTGCATTGCTGGGATTTGTAGTACACTATATTGGATGATATTTTGCATTGCTGTATAATGTTTTGTTAGGATTTGTAGTCCCTCTACAGCTTGGAGTAAGGAGCAGAACTACCAGGCGAGCAGCATTTGCAGCTGTGACCAGGCCCTGGCACTCCACCGCTGTCCTAAAATCATTAGTCTGTATTGTTTTAGAAAGACTGTTTCATGCCACTAAAAAAAGGTATCTGTAATTGGTATCGGCGAGTACTTGAGCAAAAGTATCGGTACTCAGCCTTGAAAAAATGGTATCGGTGCATCACTAATTATTAGTCATCTTTTGCAGGCTACATCTACTTTAACACAGAACTATGACCACAACTGGCTATAGTTCTTGTTTGGGTTGCAAGAGAACATTTACTATGTCGTACTGTCACCCAAAACTCAGCCTATAGTGAGATATTGCCCGCTATAAGCTGAGAGCGCAGAGCCTCGCTGAAGCCGGGAAGGATGCCAACAATATTGTCACGATCTACCCGTCTGACAGCTGGCTCTGCCTCTGTAGAGCTGTCTGCCCCCTCCCCTGTCTGTCCCTCCAATGAAAGCTGGAGGAACAGAGAGAGAGAGAGAGAGAGGGGGGAGGGGGTAATCCCTGAGGGGAGCAGTCACTGACAGTCACCACTCTCTGCAGGAAGGAGATCTTGAACTGGGCGATCAGCTTAATGTGATTGCTCAGTTCTCGATCTATAGAGCCGACGCGTGCAGTGTCAGACATCAGCTGTGACTATTGGGATGAGTGCATTTCACTCTCCCCATAGTTCTCGTTTAATCTTTTGTATTATGACAGAGTTGCCTTAAAGTGTATCAAAAGCCAAAACAAACAGATTTGAGAATGGTGAAAACCCGTCAGTGAGAGGAAAGGTAAGGGGAAATGTTATCAGTGGAACAAGTATCCTATTGGTAGGTTTCCCTTCCTTCCTCTTCCTGTTCTGGTGACAACCGTAACATTTTGATATTCCCATCACTTTCTGTCCTGCTGGCAGTGGTTACAAGGATACATTGAAAGAATACATTTCTCCAGTGGACAAAGAAAGCAATAAAAAACTGACAGTTGTTTCCCGCTAAACAACTTTTTGGCATGAAATATTCTTTACTTCTGACTGTGGAAAGAAAAATTACCACGCAGCTCTTATGGCTTTGAGAAACAAATACAACTCTTAAAGATGAAAGTGTAACTTGGCTGCCCTCTGCTGTCATTTTATTAGAACACCAGCATTGCATTTGAACAGGGTTGTGACTATTACCTAACCACGCATTTTTGTTTGCATGAAGTATATATAAAATGGTGACAAGAAAATACAAGAAAACAATGCTGATTGTGGAATAACTCCAATCATCCAACTATATAGGCACTGCAGCATCAGCATGAGGGAATGCAGTACTCTTCAGTCTGATGTAGTGCACTATAAACTGCAGTTAACCTGTACTCAAACACTGATACTGATCTTAGTGTACTACCAGCACATACTGATCTCAGTGTACTACCAGCACATACTCAATGTACTAGGTGTTAACCTGGAGCTGTACAGCATAGGTAGACCAGATGTTAAACTTTACCTTACCTTTACCTAGCAGCTCACAAATGTTTTTTTTCATGTATACATTTTGTTCTACCTCCTTTGCAACTGAAACCTAAGTTACCCTTCATAGACTGAGCAAGTTCGATGTACAAGTAAGATCATATTTGGACTCCAGTGTTTTCTGCCCTTTTAGCAGCTCACAAGCACACAGGCATCCACAATGGTGTGCTGCTATTCAGGCTAAAAACAATGACACAAGTAAAAATGTAATTCTACTTCAAATTCATAAGAGTTCTATTGCCACAATATGAGAATTCCTTTGAAGCAGGTGGGTGAATTCTATAAGCAGAGGAAGAAAATGTAACAATTGAGTCAAAGAGCAATGGCAAATGTTCTGGATCACTGGTGCCTACTCTGCGGACCTTTGGCTCTTACTATGCAGCTCTCAGAACCCCTGCAGACAGGGGTCTGTTTCGGTGCTTATTCGAACCAGTAAAAGGAAAAATATATCTTTAGAGTGGCTTCTTGTGTATTTCTTTCACAGTGGCTTATTTTTTTTCTTTACTATCCATTCCTGTTCACTATTTTATGCTTCGTTTTCAACAATGATTCTTTATAATGGATCTTTTGGGAGACATTTTAATTGTGGCACAAGAAAGTTTATAGGGAGCTTTAAGGAGCACAAATGTTGAAGCGTTGACTAGTAAAAGGGCTGTAATAGCCATGATCTCTAGCAGTTAACGTGTCTCCAGGGAATGCCTGTCTACTGAAGAATGTCCCCAGTCTCCAACAAATCCTAAAGCATGTTTGCAGTGGCTCACCATCTCCTGTTGCATGTCTTCAGTCTCTGACAGCTTTCTATAGCAATTTATTTACTAAATATCATATTCAGCCGTTTGGTGTTGTCAGGGGCCACCAATGCTAGAAAGACCATGAGGGAGGTGTGTACTTAACGAATTATGGATTTAATTAGGCCACAATACACACGTCCACCAGTCTTATCCATTATGTTTTATCACATACTATATCACAGTAGTTTGTTTAGAAATATGGTATCAGATAAGATTTAATTAAAGTAAACTTACTTTGGAAAGTTCTGGCTTGCACTGCTGGGATGATAAAAGATCGCTGGTTGAGGATTCAGAGCCTGAGATCTCTACAACACTTTCAGCATTTTCAGACACATTACCCTTATCGGAACCACACTCCAAATCATTGTCATCTTGAAAGTCGGTAATGGTAAGCACATCAGCAACAACTGCATAAAACATACAAAAGTAAGCTACAGCATTAACTGATTGATACTGCTACAGGCTCATCTTTTCTGTCTGTAAATATTTATGTGGTTTTGTGTATAATTTCTCTTTCCTTATTATGATAAAAATGGTAATATACATCAGAATCAAACAAATGATCTTACCTCTACTGCAACCTTCAGCAGAGACAGACATCTCTGTATCATTCAATCTACTTGCACTCTGAGGAGATATTTCAGAAATGTCAGGTAGTAAATCTGCCTCTTCACTCCCATCATTGGACATACTGCTGTCACTGGAACTCCATACAATGTCCGCTGGATCTTTTCCACAGCTTTCTGCTGAAGTTTCTGGAAGAAGATAAAAATAAAGATTATCTTCTCTATTATCACTGTGTCACAATTTTTTTGATAATGGTTTGAAAATAAAGCTATTAGTACACAAAGTAGCAGTCGATCCGCCCGTCAGTCTGGAGAGGAATACATACATGACTAAAGGGAAGGTACAATTTACACAACCATAACCTTTTAAATAGAACAGGTTCACTTTACTGTATGGACCATACAGCACTCACTACATAAGAGATTTTTTTTTCAAGGAAGCATTAATTGCATTATAAAAACACCTATAGTATGTATGCTGATGAAATAACAGGATAGTTTATGCTGTAGACTTTGGAAGGGTTAAGGTTAGGGTGGATTGAATTACATGTAAGGATCCAGTTAAAACAGCTGTAAAGGTATAAAATATAAAAAGCAATGGGAGGAATGTATCAAAACTGGAGAAGACAAAAACTGGAGCAGTTGCCCATGGCAACCAATCAGTGTCTCTCTTCAGTTTGCTAAGGTAAAATTTGAAAATTAGACATAGAAGCTGATTGGTTGCAGTGCAAATCTGCTCCAGTTTTGATCAATTCCTCCCAATGTATTTTAAAAAAACAGAGTGCATGTTATGGTATTATGTGATTATATTCTGGTTCTTTAAATGTGAAAAATAATTTAAAATACCATATTTTACCATAGTTCTGACTTCTGTTTGACTTTTTGAAAAAACTACTTGTCCAAGGGCTAAAGCGGGGGTTAAATCTACTTGTCCCAATACAAAAAAAAATATTTTTAAAAGTTTAAAACTAGGGATGGCCCAATACCAGTTTTTGGGTATCGAGTATGAGTGCCGATATTTTGCTTTCAGTACTCACTATCACTTTCAGTATCGGTGCTTCCGTTGGGATGGAGCAGGCTTCCCGGGCAATCAGGAAGCCGGGCAGTGGGTAATGAGATACTACCCGACTTCCTGACTGCCAGGGAAGCCGACTCCATGTTGTTTGGCCGGCTTGATTGTGAATGGCTGGGAAGCCGGTTTCCCGGCCAATCAGCATCGAGCCAGCTTGCTAGCCAATCAGGAAACCTGGCGGATAGTAATTACCTGATTGGCCGGGAGGATAGCGCGATGCTGATTGGCAGCCAATCAGCAAGGAGCTGGCTTCCCGGCCAATCAGGAAACTGGGAGGCGGGTCATTAGTCACTAACCCCGCTTCCTGATTGCACGGGAAGCTGGCTCCATGTTCGCCTACGGCACTGCCGGTCGGAGGAAATCTTCCTCTGACCGGTTGTTTCAGTATTGGGGATGGTATCTGAGCATTTGGGCGAGTACTAGTACTAGCCCGAATACTCCGTATCTGTGCATCCCTAATCAGAACTGTATTTGACTGTGCTAAATATCGCTTCTCATTGGTTAGCGTGGTCACCTGACCATGCTGACCAATGAGTGCTTGCAATTTGCGAGCAAAATTCAAAATGCATAGGGCCCGACTGCGCTGGACAGTATGGGGTAAGGACACCTGTATTGGCGGAGGGGAAGGACTGTTCGCAGAAAGTTAAGTATAGCTTAAGCTATACTTAAGTATAGCTTAGGGGGGTGAGAGAGACCAGGCCAGATTTGATTGGGTAATTCCATTTTCCCGTATTACCTGGGAAAGTGAACACACCAAGCTCCACAATATAGATTGTCCGGAGCCGGGCTAAATGTATTAAAAAACGACTCGCCTGGCGCCCGAAACTGCATTTCCCGGGCGTCAGGTGATAGGAATTCCACACCCCTGCTTTCTATTTTAGAAAATATTGAAGCCAAAGACAGCCAAGCAAATAGCACTTTTAGAAGGAGGTGAAAGCCTTGGTAGGTATTACCGCAGTACATGTTTCCTTTAGGAGGTGCGTCGGGGCTGCGATGGCTGTTTTTTTAGCATTCAAAATAAGGGAACTATGGGTGGAATCCAATATCAGGCCGATTTTCATGCAAATTCAATTTTTATTGCTTTTTCTATCATGACGGGCTTGACTGCAATTATATAACGCATGCAACTCACCTTCATCAAATAAAAAGGACTGTGCCAAGTGCCTGACAGCCTGGAATTTTCCTCCTGATGGCTTACATTTCTGCAGTGGGGGAGACAAGAATTTGCTTTCTTAAAGATGATGAAGCTTATAGGATAAATGCACTTATTCTTTTTTGCCCCTTTGCCCTGACCTAACTGAACCCACCCTTCCCCTCCAAAGATGTTATACTTGCTTCGATCCAGCAGCCGCAGTCGCTAGTGTTGGTTTACTTCCTGGCTACACCTGTGATTTACTCCCTTCATCTCCGGCCTAGGGACACAGCCCCACAGAAGTCTATGAGGTTTAATGCACAGGCGCAGCCAGGACTGTAAGACTTTTGGTGCTTGATGTAGGCTGCCAGATCAAGGTAAGTATGCATCTGTGGAGGGTGGGTTCAATTAGGTCAGGACAAAAGGGCCTTAAATTAAGAAAAAAATTAAAAACATTTTATACATAAAAATGTCAACAGCCTAGTAGTATGAAGACTGAAAGTAAATGCTCACCAGTCATTGTGTAAAATAACTGCAATTGCACACTAGCTATATATGGCACTACAACTGTCCTCATGACCATCTGCTGCTGGATATCAGTACAATTTAGGTGCTCCAGGTAAAAGACTTGAGAATAGGAAATTTCACTTTGAATTAATTAGCATGGCAGGGAATACTTTTTGTACAATCCATCTCATCCCTTTTGCATGACTTCAGCCAAGCCATCAAACTGTATTCCAAGGTGCATGTCATTATGAAAACGTTCAAACACCAAGGTAGACTGAAGCACAGAAGAAAGAAGCCTAGGAAAAGATATTTGTCTTTTATGACTGCAAGTTATATATAGGATCTTTCACTTTATAAACAGAGTTCTTATATTCTCCACCATGCAGACCTGAATTATGTTTTCCACTACTGATTTTACCTCATGAGTAAAATTCCACCAAATTTACTCACTCAAAGCTTACTTGATTGGCACCACAACTCACATAAAAAAAAAACATGCAAATGTATGCTGTACAGCAATTCATTATCTCTACACTACTCTGCTGATTACATATCTGCCTAATCAAAGGAACTTGTAAGAAATTGTTAACACTTTTTGTGCAACCTTCACTAAACCACTGCCACCCAGAGGACGACAAGGATAGCACAGCATATAGATTGTGCGTAGATTTAACAGAACTCATATGGACAAGATTTAAAAGCAATCAGTCATTCTCAAAGTAAACCTGTCATGAAAGACACATGAAGACTGCTGCGGCTATCTAATTGAGAAAATGCTGTTTTCTTGGACGTCACGCTGACCCTACTGCTGTAAGTCAATGACACGTATCAAGTATGCAGATTAAGACTTCCAACTTTGCTGATCTGCCCAGTTATTTGAGGTTGGTGGTTTACAAAGTTCTGAAGCCAGTCAGTCACCATATGACCCAAGAAAACTATTACTTTTAGAAGGGGCCAGCAATGGCAGCCTTCATGTTTATTATATGACAAGTCCACTTTAAGTTAAGAAAGGACCTCATAGATCCGATTCTGTCTTCCTAATAATGAATATTGGGTATGGAAGTCTATAAAATAGTTAACCTATAGCATCAACTCACAAGCACCCAAGTTTTCTTGTGTTCTTGCTGTAATTATGGAAATGTTACTGTGCCGCCCCAACAGGGGCATAGAATATGAGATGCATAGCCTCAGTTAATATTAGCATTGTTATATAGGTTAGAATTTATATAGTGTGATTTGCCCAACTATTTTCTCATAGCTAAATTCATGTGTTATCCTATGCTGCCATCTAGTGACCTTTTGTTGTAACAAACATGTTTTCTGTAATTATTCCTCATGTGACGATGTATTTCCCCCTAGTGTAGCCCCACCCTTCTTCCTGTGTGCAGTACTTCCTGTGTCATGGGCACAGTTGAAAGCCACATGTAACAAGGACACACAGGTAATCTGCACAGTACGGAGGAAAGGCATCATTTTCTGACCGCACAATACTATAACCGTTCAACTGCTGTTCCTATCATCTGCTGTAACCCTGATGTTAAAGAATAAACACCTCTTTTGAATGAATCGGTATTGACGAGTTCAGCTATCTGACGAGGATTGTCCGCAGTGAGTATATCTGCTTATACAGGCCAGGCATAGAGGTCTCAGCAAGGGATATATTTCGCTATCACAACGATCGGAGTCAGAATAGTTACAAAATGCATAGAATTCTTACAGCCTGCTGTGTATATGTGTGTGCCTAATCTGCAATCAAGATCAGTGCCAGCCGCCATCTTGTGAAAGCACATGGTCGCACAAGCTTACTGCACTTCATGTGAATGTTGAAAACTGTTTCTCTACATTGAACTGTGTTACCCCACCTGTCTAAGCTGCTGTTCGTCTTCTTAAAGAGACAGTACCATTTTTTGCAAAAACGTGAAAAATGTCTAGACAAGGCTCTGAACACTCTTTTATGGCTGAACCAACGCAGATACATCATGCCTCTGAACCCGCAGACGTACAGGGAGCAGATTCTGCAGATATTGCCGAACAGAGTGTGAGACCCAAACGTACAGTAAAACCAACACAGAAACTCAGAGAAAACTATGAATACACTAGAGATGAGTTCTCCAGCAATCTGTCAGACCTCTGGGACAGAACTTCACACTGCATGTCAGTTTTGTCACACTTTAATGATCAACCAGCTGAATTGAGAGACTCTATAGATCGCCTAACTGCTGCGTATGAACGTTACCAGCGACTGTCTGCAAAATACACAGCTTTCTTGCAGGACTGTAATATAGAGGACTCTTCAGCAGAACTGACCAGGGCTGATGCATTGAACCAACAAAGGGATCTCTTAGTGCAAAATGCTCAGTGTAAGGCAGAACTCCGCATTGCTCAACTGCAGGAGACCAGATCTCACAGATCGACATCAACCAAGCATACTGCACGTTCTTCTAGATCCTCTCGCTCCAGAAGTTCAACATTAAGCGACAAGCTAATAGAGGCCCGCGCTGATGCTGAATCCAGAAAAGCGCAAAGCTCCCTTGCTAAGAAAGAAGCAGAGATGGAAGCTCAAAGCAAAACTCTTCAAGCAGAAAGGGAAGCTCAAAACAAATCTCTTCAAGCAGAAATGGCAGCTCGCCAAGCAGAGATGGCAGCTCGCCAAGCAGAGATGGAAGCTCAGAGCAAAACTCGCCAAGCAGAGATAGAAGCTCAGAGCAAAACTCGCCAAGCAGAGATGGAATCCCAAATAAAGATTCTGCAAATGGAGAAAGAGGAAGCAGGTGCCCTTGCAAGACTGAAAGTCCTTGAACAAGCAATGGGACAAAGTACTAACTCAGACTGTCTTATTCCAGCAGAACTGGAAGATCCAATTGAACGCACCAGTGAATATGTGCTAAAGCATAATGTTTGCAATGATACAGAGTCATCTCCTGTACCTCCTACTAACAACACTGTTCTGACTCTCAACACAGAGACCTCTCAGATCCAAATGCCTGAGCCTCCTCAAGTCTACAACACAAGTGCATCTACGCAGCAAACCACATCAACTCCTGCCAACAACAAGGTGACTTCCAGCGACAAGCCGCAGCTCAAGCCACAGCCAGCAGAAGCCTTAGAGACTACACCACAGTTAAGCGCTCATGCAACATCATTCTATCCTGGTAAACCTCACCCTTCTTCACCAGAGAACTTTCACACCCAAGGGGTTCCACAAGTTACTTTGGCACCAAAGAGTGAGAGATCAGACTTGAATGACTTCGCCAGATATATGGCACGCCGTGAGCTCATTAACACTAGCCTCTCAAGGTTTGATGACTGTCCAGAGAGCTACAGGGCCTGGAGATCAACCTTCAAGGCTGCTATTGCTGATCTCAACCTTACTACCAAGGAGGAACTTGATTTGCTGATAAAGTGGCTGGGGCCAGAATCTGCAGATCGTGTTAAAAGACTGAGAACAGTACATGTTGACCACCCAGATGCAGGTCTTGTTGCTGCATGGGCAAGACTGGAGCAAGCCTATGGTAGCTCAGAAGCCATAGAAAGCGCTCTATTCAAGAGACTGCAAAACTTCCCAAAAATAGGGAACAAAGACTATCGCAAGCTCCAAGATCTGAGTGACCTCCTCATGGAGCTAGAGTTGGCAAAGACAGACCCACGTCTACCTGGACTAAGTTTCCTGGACACTGCTCATGGTGTCAATCCAGTGGTGTCTAAACTGCCATACGGCCTGCAAGAGAGATGGGCGCAAAAGGGCTCAAGGTACAAAAGAGACTATAACGTATCTTTTCCTCCATTCTCATATTTTTGCAGGTTCATCAGTGAACAAGCCTGGATGAGAAACGATCCCAGCTTCAGCTTCAGTGAACCCAACTTGCCTGCTTCATCATCATCACCCTCCTCAAGGTATGATAACACAGCAGCTAAACACAGAGACTTTAATAGAGCAATATCTGTTAAAAGGACAGACATCTCACCACCCGTATACTCACCTGCATACCAGAGTGATTCGGATGATAGAGATAAAGATCCTAATCGTCAGTGCCCTATTCACAAGAAGCCTCACCCTCTTAAGAAATGTCGTGAGCTGAGGGCAAAGACTTTACAAGAGCGCAGGGAGATTCTCCAGAAACTTGGAGTATGCTACAGGTGCTGTGCTTCTTATAGTCATTTTGCCAAAGACTGTAAAGTTGTCATCAAGTGCACAGAATGCAGTAGCGACAGACACGTAACAGCTATGCATCCTACTCCACTTTCAGACAATCCACAGCAGCCTCCTACCTCCAACCCTCTCTCAAATCATGGCGGGGAGCAACAAAGTCATGCTCCAGCCACAACAAGTGTTTCTTCCTTATGTACTGTAATCTGTGGAGAGAGCCAAGGGCAACCACTTGCAACAGTTACATCAAAATGTAGTGAACTACATCACAAAAGACCTTGGGGAAAGACTCTTGCAAAAATAGTTCTTGTCAAGGTGTTTCGCCAAAGACAACCTGAAAAGGCAATCAAGATGTATGCAGTCTTAGATGACCAAAGCAGTCACTCACTTGCCACTTCAGAGTTCTTTGACTTATTCGGCATAAAGGGTAACATGCTATCCTACACATTGCACACCTGTGCTGGTACAGTGCAACTCACAGGAAGAACAACCAATGCTGAATTCATCATTTCTCCTATAAAAGGAACGGAGAGAATTGATCTTCCTCAGATCATTGAGTGCAATCAGTTGCCTAACGACAGGGAGGAAATTCCTACACAAGAGGATGCACTTCGTGAACCTCACCTAAAACATTTAGCTGACTGCATCCCACCACTTGACAACGATGCCAAAATAATGCTTCTCTTAGGCAGAGACATCCTGAGAGTACATAAGGTACGTCAGCAGCACAATGGCTGGAATGATGATCCTTATGCCCAAAAGACTGACCTTGGTTGGGTACTTATTGGAATCAAACGAGATTGCGAACCTCAAGCCTCAGGTGACGTATGCTCCAATAAGATCATCGTACAGGTAAACCAAGGCAACATCACTACACCACCCTGCAATAGTTCCGGTAAGACTATGCACCAGATTTCCTTCAACAGCTCGGACGGGCAGGAATCCACTGATGCAAGCACCCAGGACAATGCACCTGATTCCTCAACCTTCACTCCAGAGACTCCACAAGCAGTGAACCTCTTGGGAAACTCATCAGAGTCTTCAACACCAGTCATCGTGCAAGATGATTCTCCTCTTCGTGAAGAAGCATTAGACCTGCTACCAAAGACTCAAGGTATGCTTTCTGAGACCAACCTTAGACACCATAAGACTGTCTCAAACAATGTTGTTGTTATGAAAGCCTTTCAACCTGGCGATCATGCCACAGGGTTTAAAGACTTAAATCTGGGAATGGACATGCCACCTGTACAGAGAAGTCTGGGCCTACGGTGGAACTTATCAAAAGACACCTTCGGCTTTCAAGTCAGCTCTGCAGACAAGCCATTTACCAAGCGTGGTGTTCTGTCAGTGGTGAACAGCCTATACGATCCAGTGGGATTTGTGGCTCCCATCACCATACAAGGTAAATCCATACTTAGACAACTCTCAGAGACTATCAAAGATTGGGATGCTCCACTACCAATAGACAAGCTTTCAAAGTGGGAGTCCTGGAAACAATCTTTACATGCCTTAGATGGAATCTGTATACCACACTGCTACACTTCAGCTTCCCTTGCTACCAGTCAGAGGAAAGAGCTTCATATCCTTTCAGACGCATCTACTGTGGCCATAGCAGCTGCTGCCTACCTCAAGGTGAGAGACTCTTCTAATCACACCCACATAGGGTTTCTGTTTGGGAAAGCTAAGTTAGCACCCAAGCCTGAACACACAATTCCTAGGCTTGAACTTTGTGGGACTGTGCTAGCTGTAGAAATTGCAGATTTCATACTGCGTGAGCGAGACATTCAGATAGATGACATCAAATTCTACACAGACAGCAAAGTTGTTCTGGGCTACGTATACAACCAGACTAAACGTTTCTATGTCTATGTCAGCAACCGTGTAGAAGGAATCAGGAAATCATCTAAACCTGAACAATGCTATTATGTCCCGTCAGAAATGGATCCTGCAGATCATGGCACCAGGCCAATGTCTGCAAGTATCTTTGCAAATTCTTCTTGCTCAACAGGTCCTGAATTCCTGCTGGATCATCCAGAAGAAGCAACAACTGATGTCGTCAGTCTTCTAGATCCTGACAACTATCCAAAGATCCATCCTGAAGGCAAAACCCTTGTAACCAGAACTGAACAAGGACACGTCTTGGGCTGTCAACACTATGGACGTTTCTCCAAGTGGACAAGGCCTGACCGCACTACAACAAGGTTAGTCCATGCTACACACTGCCAACACACTAAGCCCACAGATGCCTACTGTCAGGACTGGCACATATGCCAAAATCTTCTTTTTGCAAAAGACATTGCTCAAAGTGAGCTGATTTTACTGCACGAGGCAGAACAAAACATCTCTAGCACAGAGATAAAATGTGTCCGTGACAAGCAGGACATTCATAAAATCCATCCAACTGCCAAGCTGAATCCATTTATCAACAGTGATGTGTGTACGGATTCAGACTTCACAGCCATCTTTACCTCGGCTACTCTTCGCATGCAGAAGATTGGAACTGTGCTTGTTTCACATGGAGACTTTGCACCTGGAGTTACATGAGCCATGTTCTTCAGGTACCTACGTGCACCATGCACATCCAGTGAAGGACTTATTCGAAGTGCCTTCTGCCTGCCAAAGAGACTATCTTGTTTCTCTATTAAGGAACTTAACAAGTTGCCACCCACGGAGTGACTTACTGCACTTGAAAGGACTGTTCCAGATTTCATCTTATATTTGAATTGTGGATATATGTTCTTTCTTTATTTTCAGGTCCAGAGGACAAGTTACAAGTTCACATTTATGGACTTTAATAGTTGTTAATTGTTTATTTGCATAACTACCGTTATGATTTAAATAGTGGCATTACCATGCCAGACGGGGAGTGTGCCGCCCCAATAGGGGCATAGAATATGAGATGCATAGCCTCAGTTAATATTAGCATTGTTATATAGGTTAGAATTTATATAGTGTGATTTGCCCAACTATTTTCTCATAGCTAAATTCATGTGTTATCCTATGCTGCCATCTAGTGACCTTTTGTTGTAACAAACATGTTTTCTGTAATTATTCCTCATGTGACGATGTATTTCCCCCTAGTGTAGCCCCACCCTTCTTCCTGTGTGCAGTACTTCCTGTGTCATGGGCACAGTTGAAAGCCACATGTAACAAGGACACACAGGTAATCTGCACAGTACGGAGGAAAGGCATCATTTTCTGACCGCACAATACTATAACCGTTCATCTGCTGTTCCTATCATCTGCTGTAACCCTGATGTTAAAGAATAAACACCTCTTTTGAATGAATCGGTATTGACGAGTTCAGCTATCTGACGAGGATTGTCCGCAGTGAGTATATCTGCTTATACAGGCCAGGCATAGAGGTCTCAGCAAGGGATATATTTCGCTATCACAACGATCGGAGTCAGAATAGTTACCTTCTCTCCCAGACATTTCTGAAATCCCTCGCCACATTTTATCCATGCTTTGCTGAGTGATGACGATTTCATTGCCCCCTCTGCAGTGGGTTTGTTTGCACTGTGACTGGCCTCATCTGGAAAACGTGCACTTATCTTATCTGCAGATCTTTTCCTCTATAAAAAACAAAGGATATGCTGATTATACATAAAAGTGCCATCATTTGGGAAGCTGGAAAACATAAAAATACTATACAACATGGCTCCGGCAAGTACCTTTTTAAGAGGCATTTTCGAATGGAGTACCGCGGCAGATGGGACTTTTTCTGCTTTTATAAACAGTATAGCAAAAACTATTTTTGGGGTTTTGGATAAAATAGGAAAGGTTTAAAACCTCTGTCAGTTTATTTTTTTTCTGTCTGTTCCCCCATAGTGGAAATTTCCCTTTACTTCCTTTCATTCCTTGTGAAGGTGGTCACCAGGACAAAGCAAGATGGCAAACCTACCCATCAGGCACAGAGACCATCATGAAAAGTTTTAATCCTTCCCTACTATACAAAAAAACCTCAAACAAAGTGTGGCTATACATACACTTTTAGAGATAAGGATTCCTTACCTTACAGTAGGGAATCATGTACAACCATAAAAGTCACACATGGTGAAGGTTGGAGATTATATATATATATATATATATATATATGACACGTCCTTCTAAATACAACCTACAAACTCAGCG